GGAGAGGCCCTATAGCTGCATGGAATGTGGAAAGAGTTTCAGCCGGAGTGGTCATCTTACAAACCATCAAAGAATTCACATGGGGGAGAAACCCTTTAAATGCATAGAATGTGGAAAGAGCTTCAGCCAGAGTCAATCTCTTAGGAAACATCAAACAACCCACTCTGGAGCGAGGCCATATAAATGCATGGAATGTGGGAAGAGCTTTACCCAAAGTGGAAGTCTTACAAGACACCTGGGAACCCACACTGGGGAGCAGCTATTTAAATGCATAGGGCTTGGAAAGAGCATCAGCTGGAATCATTCTCTTATGAAACATCAAAGAGCTCACACTGGGTAGAGGCCATATATATGTGTATAGGGTGGAATCAACGTCTACCGGAGTGATCATTTTGTGAACCATGAAAGGACACATACTGGCAAAAAGCCTTTTTCAATGCATGCAGTCTGGAAGAAGCTGCCATTTAACTGGCAGTCTTACAACCCATGACCGAATTCACACAGGGTAGAGGCTGTATAAGTACATGGAACATGGAAAGAGCTTCAGAGCAGAATCTTCATCTTATCTTCATTATTGCAGGCATAGGAATTCAGGAGGAGAATGTGGCCCCAAAAAGGGAGGCCTTGGAGGTGCCAGCCTTGGTGATGCCACTGGTTTTCAAGGCAGGCCACTGCTGTGCATGTGAAGAGAGTTGGTGAGTGGGCATAGTCAGAAGATGGGCCTTCACACAACAGGGACAGTGGTGCAAGGGGGCAAAGGGGATACCAGGAGGAGGTGGCATGATGGAGAAGGATTCTTTGCAAGGCCGTGGCGGAGTATGAGCTGAGACTTGCAGAGAATGTCAAGAGCAACACAGAGGGCTTCTAACTTCATGTACATAGGAAGAGGAAGGGGAGACAGGTGGTGGGACCCCTTAAGAGGGAGGGGGATCTGGTAACTGGTGTAAGGGAGCAGGCACAGATGCTTAATTATTATCTTGCTTTTGTGTTCTTCCCAAAGTAGTTTGGGGGAGATCGACCATGCAGGGGATAGATGAGGTTAGGGGTATGGAGGCCACATTGGGCTCACCCCTTGGAAGCTGAGCAGCTCTTCAAGGCCCTGGATGTCACAACGGCACTGGGCCAAGATGGGCTACACTCAAGATTGTTCAGGAATAGCCAGGGGTGCTCTCGCATTCATTGCCCTACATTTTCGGGGCCTCGTGCAAAACAGGAGTAGTTCTGGGGATTGGAGGGTGGCATCAGTGGTTCCAGTCTTCAAAATTGGTAGCCGAGGGGATATGGGGAATTACAGGCCTGTTAGCCTCATGCCCATTCTCAGAAAGACAATGGTGCCAATCAGAGCAAGATGCATGCTGGTGAGAAATGTGAAGGTCTCCATCTGGGAAAATGGATGTGAATGCACAATTGCATGATGGAGCCCTTTGGTCACGGGTGCTCCCCTGCCTTTCTTTGGACATGCTCTGTCCCTCCCTTTCTCAATGTCTCCTCCTCATTCTCTCCCTACATAATGCTGCCAGCAGGAATTCACTTCCAGTCCTGCCGGTTAGTCTCTCGCTCACATTGTGCCCAGACTGCAAGGCTCCTTGGCTGGACTACGTGGTCCTGAGGACGGGACTCTGTTCATGCACCTGTGACTCTGGGTCAGCCGTCAACAACATAGATATTCAGTTTTGCAACAAATGAATTGGTTTCATGATGTTCAAAATGTTATTTCCTTCGTGAATAAAACAATGAATCATAACAGCTTCCGACTGACTATCGCACTTTCCCTTCACAAACACTCCTCACTCTCAGATCCTCTTTCTCTTCTGAATGCACTTCCACCAGTCTTTCCTTCCTGTCTGTCAGTGCAGTCTTTTCTTTCCTTTTCCTTTTTCTTTTTAATAAAATTTGTATGCCGTCCAATTACATGCGTCTCTGGACGGCTTACAACATAGATAAATTGACAATCCACTCTGGCTGCAAATTAATAAAATACAACAATAACATTCAATATTAAAACATATTAAAATATTGATTACATAAAAAGGTCTTGATCTGGTGCCCAAAAACATATAATGACAGCACCAAGCAGACCTCTCTGGGGAGTGCATTCCACAGTCAGGGCGCCACCTCAGAGAAGGCCCTCCTCCGGGTACTCTGCCTCCTAATATCTTTCACAGAGGGTTCCCAGAGGAGGGCTTCTTTTGCCGATCTCAGGGGGCAGGAGGGCAAATAGGGAAAAAGACATTCCTTTAGGTATCCTGGTCCGAAGCCATTTAGGGCTTTCTAGGTAATGACCAGCACCTTGAATTGAGCCCGGACTTCGATGGGAAGCCAATGGAGGTGAAAGGGGACTGGGGTTCTATGAGAATAATGCCCAGTCCTTGTCAGTAACCTGGCTTCTCTATTTTGCACCATCTGAAGTATCCGGATTGTCTTCAAGGGCAGCCCCATGTAAAGCATGTTGGAAAAATCCAACCGGGAAGTAACCAGTGCATGTGTTACTGTTGCAGAACTCTTTCCCTTCTGCACTCAGCTTTCTCTCTGCTTCTGCCTCTCACACCCTTCTAATGCTTGACGGTATTGCGGGGTGGGTCTCCCCAGTCTCAGCTCCATCCTCTGAGGACTCGGCCTTCCCTTTCCTTGGGACTCATAAATCCCTCCCACAGCACTGCCTGGGATCCCAAGGAGAAGCTCAGTTTCTCCCTCCCAGGCTCTGCACACCCCAAGCACCACACTCCCTCTGCAGAGCCCTGTGAGAAAGAACGAGGGGTGGGGATGAGTCCCAGAGCAAGTGGGGGCACAGAGGGGCTGGAGGAGGCCCCCAGCAGTGGGGAGAGCAGGCTGGGCTGCTGGGGCCTCAAACCTTTCCAGCCCGCTGAAAACCACCCGAGCCGGGAGGGGTGCAACGGTGCAGGGAGAAGCTCAGCAGTTTCCGATCTGAGCTCCCTGGGAAACCCAGAATGGTCCTGCCTGGGCCTGGGGATTCAGTGGCTTGCATCGTCCCAGAAATGTGGAGCATTTCCTCTTTGGCTGGAGCACAGCAAGCGACTGACCTTGGGGATTCCCTAACCCAGGTGACTCACATTTTCTGACCTCAGAAAGGAACCCTGGGCCACACACTTTGAGTTCCTTGAGAATCTGGGCTATGAATTCAGTCACAATGTAGCATAGGTGGCACAACCGACTGTGGATTGGAGTGGGACCAATTCCTCTCAAACTCTTTGCCAGGTTCCTGGACACAGCACATGCTCCCTTCCAACGCCTGCCCAGGGCTGGTAATTTCCCTCCTCCAAATTTTTCATGGCTGCCAACATGTTTGCTCACCTGCATGCGTGCACTGGGTCCCTGGGTGCCCACACATCGGATGCACTGCATCATCTGTTTATCTGAGCGCGCATGTGCCTGGAAGGGCAACATTTCAGCTGGAATGTCCCTCGTGTGGAGAGCCCACAACCCCTCTGGAAAACGGGCTGCACTGCTGTGTTGCTCCGACGGTGAGGACTCTTCTGATCTCTAGCCTGAACCAGGCTTGTCGCAACTTGAGCTGATGCTTCCATGACCTGCACTTTGGTACCAGTGAGAAGAGCTCTTGGCATTGCCCTTCGTGCCAGCCTTTGGGGTAGCTGCAGGGTGCTATTCTGCCTCCCCACAGTCTTCTCTTCCGCATCATTCTTGTCACCCTCCTCTGGATCCTTTCCAACATTTGCGTGTCTTTCCAAACTCTTGGGCACAGAACTGGACAAAGAATTCCAGAGGATCAAAATCACCCAGGGTGGGGAACCACTGACCTATAAGGACAGACTGGGAGAACTGGGCATGGTCAGCCCTGAGAAGACTGAGCGGGGACGATTAATCCCTCTCCAAGTAACTCACCGTCTGTCACAAAAATGAAGGTCAGGGTCTCTTCCCATTGACAACAGAGTGTGTAACATGGAATAAACAGCTCCAGTTGCAAAAACCCAGGTTCAGATTAGAGATCATGAAAAGCTTCCACACTGTCAGAGCAACACGAATGTGGAGCCAGCTGCCTAGAGAGCTCCTGAGCTCACTCACAGGAGGAACGTTCTGGAACAACCTGGGCAGCCATCTGAATGGGATGATGGCAACTGGCGACCTGCAACTTGCTGAGCACTTGATGGCCTTCTTGGCCCCTTCCAACTCGGCTCTTCTCTGATCCTATGAAACTCCGGGTCAGTGACATTTCGTCATGCTATGGTTTTGGTTTGTTGGAATGTTAAATTTTGTTACTTTTAATAGAACTTCCATTTTACCTTTTAAACCTGTGTAACTTGCTCAGGGTGCCTTCCTGGCTAATGTGGTGGGATAGAAGTACAATATATGGTGATGAAGTCTTCTCTCTGGTGTTGGTTTGCATGATTCGTAAAATGCGGACTCTGCCTGAAGTGCTCTCCACCCTCTATGCATTCGTGTGGCTACTCCTCAGTGTGGGATCTCGGTGTGCCGTAAGGCTGCCCCTGTCACTGAAGCTCTTTCCACACTCCATGCATATGAACCACCCTGCTCAAACGTGGCTTCTTTGAACAACCCAGATGCAGGCTAGATATCCAGACCCGCTTCCTCACTTTCAGAGCAATCTGCAGTACAACTAGCTGCCTGGAGAGGTGGTGGGCTCTCCCGCATTAGAGACAGTCAGAGAGCAACTGGACGGCCATCAGAAGGGATGGGGCAACATGGTGTCGTGCAGGAGCATGGGGTGGGGGGTTTACCGCATGGCTGTCTTGGCCCCTTCCAACGCAACTATCCTTTGATTGTATGGATGCCCACCTCACACGGTCCCTCCATTTGAGGGCCGCTGAGCTGCCACCCTCACTCATTACAATGCAGTCTCTTCAACATGAGGTGGGGGTCTGGTTGGACAGGCCATTGGGTTATTTTGGGGGAAGGGACTTCCACTGCTTCTGTATGGTGCAGAAATGTGGGGGTGCGTGGCCCTCACTATTCTAGGACTTGTCACACCGATCCACAATTAAGGCTCGGAAATCAGTTTCTTGTCAAGGCAAGCAGGTTTAATTACAATTGAATGCATGGATATAGGGGTGCCTAAAATAGCAACACCCCCATGTTAATTTCCATAGGGTTATATAGAATACACCAAAAGGGAAGTGAATACAATTCCCAGGAAGGTGATTGGATACATTGATATGGATAGGAAAGTGATTGCATACACATCACGACACTATAAAGAAAAGTTACATTTCACTCTAATTAGATGCCTTTGACAAGCCATCAGACTAAAGTTATCTGGAACAGGCTTGCCAGAAAAGGTTACATTTGTGAACTTTATAGGGTCAAGAAGGCACTTTGGCAAACCAATAAAATACACAGATTACAATTGACAGTTACCCATTAATGGAGTGGGGTCATTTGGTCTTCACCACCAGACACTGAGGCACCCTTTGTGATCTGTTTATGGCAAGGCAGTGAGGCGGGGTGATAAATCTTGTTTTTCTGTGTACGGCTTTCCCCCCTTTTTATTATCCTGCCAAACTGCTAGGTGAAACATAATTCTGCACATATCTGAGTTAGCACACTCTGGCTTTTCTATGAGTTGGGAAATATCCTGTGTAAGTGGCTTTAAGACCATGATTCGGCCCATTGAAGACTCCTGGGGTGAGGCATCCACCAGGGCGGCCTCCATACGAGTACCTTGTATAACTGATTGAATAAGCTTGATAAAGCATGGGATACAACAGGGTAAGATGAGAATAGCTCCTAATGCACGACTCATGACAACAGCCTCTTTTTCCACCATGCCTTACCAAAAATGCTATCCCACCAGTTCATGTATATAACTGTGGTGTTTTTACTCTGTGGCCTCCCTCTGGCTAACCAGTCTTGAGGTATTTTGGGGTGCTGCAATTGGCTACAGCTTCTAGCAAAAGACAGATTCCTCCTGACCAGGGAGACAGGCCGCCCAGCCCCTGCAGCTTCACCTTGAAGGTGCAGACTGCCTGTGCAGGTGAGGGCCATTTCGATAAACACAGAAGCACAAAAGCAGAGCGATTCCGAAGGCACCTCCTGGGGCAACCACTCTGACCCCTGGCTCCAGCCAGCTCTGTTCATGACATGCCTGAGAAATACTAGAATAATTGTTGGCAAGCTCTGCCAGTAACAGCCTCAGTTGGAGAACCATGAAAGCAACCCTCCCAGGCCACTCTTACCAGAATGAAATGTAAAGCAGCTTATAAAGCACTGAGCTTTTAAATGTGATGCTCCAAAGAAACAGTTTTGTCTTCCACAAGTTTCGCAAACCGTCCTGGCTTGCCAGCAATGCAATGTCTAGCAACTTTGTATGGCAAGTTGCTGTAGCTGAGCTTTGTATGTCTGAAATGGCATCAGGTGCTTCACTACAAACATTGAATGCAGATACAGCACTCTAAGGCCATGGTGATTTGGGAAAACTCCAAATGGTGGAAGAATGGCCCAGAGAAATGAATACCCCCCCCCCCTTTGACAATGTCTTCCACCACTGTTTGAACTACTTCTCTGCAGTTAGGGCAAGGGCCCCTGGGGAATTCTGTAATCATTCAGAGATTGGGGACAAGGTATCCAGTGCCCTATCCTTCTGTAGGGAAAGCTGTGAAAGCCTTCTGGCTACTAACCCTGTAAGTCCCATGGGTGGTTTCCATGGTTAGAAGGCCAATCCATGTTGTGAGACTGAGTCCAGAGATCCCCTGTAGAGGGTTTTCTCTTGTGGAGTTTTGTATATGCCAATGTGAGCCATTGAGCTAGGCATGTTTGCTGACCTCCGTCTTTTGGCCAGCACCAAGTTGTCTTGTACCCATAGTGCGTATTCCAGGTTGTACCAAGTGGCACTTACCAGCTCCATTTGTGTGAATAATGCATAGCAGTCAGCATCCACATGTGGTTGCCCATCCAAGCTGCAGGCAGGGCCTTTCCAGCTTAGCAGAAACAAAGCCCCATGCCAGCCACCACACCAAATTCTCTCTCTCACACAGGGAGCCTATTCCAGCATGTGCCAATTGGCTGTAAGGATGTTGCTGGTCCACCATCATCACCCCAAGTGGTAGAGTGCTTTCAGTGGTCCTTACCTGTAGCGGCTTCACATGGAAATTGTTTTCCCTAGGAACCTGTGTAATCATTTTTTAAACAAATATTTCTTTCCTTTTTACTCTCCTTTAGCTGATCTGGGACAGCATGTGCCTGTCCTCCTGTAATCTGCATGTCTGTTTTACCTGGTCCTTGGTGTGAATCCAGACATATAACACGTTCCAGTGTAAGAAATCCATGCTGGGTTTTCACCATTGCCACTAAAGCATAAACATTCTATTACACACTGAACCAGTATTCTAAAACTGAAAACTCAGAAATTAGGAAGTCCACTGTTTTCTTCCTACAAGGACATATAGTATAGAAAGGAGTAACAGAATTAACTGAAGTACACAGAGACAGCCAGAGTAACAACTGCAAGAATCTCCCCCTCTTTCCTTCCGCATCATCATCTAGGCTACTTAGCATTAGGCAACTGCTAGTCTCTTTGATCCAAGTCTTCAAGCCAGAACCCGATCCTGGTCCCCGATAGGTTGCTTTTCTTCGGGGCTCTTCTCCATTGCCCCCTCCAGTTGCGGGCTCTTGGCTGACCCTGATGTCAGCTCCTTCTCGTCCTGGTGTGTTATGCTGCTGGTCCTCCCTTGCAGGGTTGGTGTTTGAGCAGGAACTTCAGGTCCTCCACGAATTCCATGGTCCTCTGGTCTCCCTGTGGTTTTTGGAGCTTTTCTCAGCCTGGTCTAAAGATCCCACGTGGGCACTGCTGTGTGTGGCAAGGAGCATCTGGGCACGGTCCTCCCATTGCATCAATGATTTCCAGGTGGTCCAGCCTCAGGCGAGTCAGCTGATGTAAGACAGCAGCCCCCCTTCCTTGAGCCATTGCAAGCCGTAGGCAGCAACCAGGCAGTGGCCACAGCTTCACACACTACAGGCAGCCAGTTAATCAGGCACGGCTGCTTTGGCCTTGCCGGACAGCCAGCACGGCCACTCTGGGCTTGGAGAAGGAGCGGTGCTGGCCAGCTAGCCAGTGCCGCAGAAGGACAGCAACAGATGCTTGCCGAGTCTGGTGCTGGAGAAGACCAGCTCCGGCCCCGCTCCCTCCTTTTTCGCACCTCCATGTCAGGAGTTGCCCTGTGCTGGGGAGCAGCCATGAGCATCCCAAGAAAGCGCTGGCTGCCAGTTTTCCAAGCCTGCATATATAACACTATATATACACCCACTAATGGAGTAGGGTCATTTGGTCTTCGCCACCAGACACTGAGGCACCCTTTGTGATCTGTTTATGGCAAGGCAGTGAGGCGGGATGATAACTCTTGTTTTTCTGTGAACAGGCTCCATTGTCTTTCTGAGAATGGGTGTGAGGCTAACAGGCCTGTAATTCCCCATATCCACCCAGCTACCAGTTTTGAAGACTGGAACTACTGATGCCACCCTCCAATCCTCCAGAACTTCTGCTTTGCAGAACAAAATGCAGGGCAATGGATGCGAGAGCACCCCTGGCTATTCCTAAACAATTTTGAGTGTAGCCGATCTTGGCCCAGTGCCTTTGTGACATCCAGGGCATTGAGGAGCTCCTCGGCTACCAGGGGGTGACCCCAATGTGGCCTCCATAACCCTAGCCTCATCTACCTCCTCTGAAGCTCTTTCCACAGTCCATGTACTTATACAGCCTCTACCCTGTGTGAATTTGTTCATGGGTTGTAAGACTGCCACGTAAACGGCAGCTTCTTCCAGACTGCATGCATTGAAAAGGCTTTTTGCCAGTATTTGTCCTTTGATGGCTCACAAAATGATCCCTCCAGGAGAAGTCGATTGCACCCTATACACATTGATATGGCCTCTACCCAGTGTTAGTTTTTTGATGTTTCATGAGAGAATGACTCCAGCTGAAGCTCTTTCCAAGGTCACTGCTTTTACATAGCTGCTCCCCCCACTCCCCCTGTGGGTTCTTTGTAAGCTTTGTAAGATGACAGCTCTGGCTGAAGCTCTTTCCGCATTCCATGCAGGCATACGGCCTCTCCCCAGTGTGGGTTCTTTCATGTTTCCTAAGAGAATGATCCCAGCTGAAGCTCTTTCCACATTCTGTGCATTTAAAGGGTTTCTCCCCTATGTGAGTTCTTCGATGCTTTGCAAGAGTTCCACTTTCAGCAAAACTTTTTCAACATATAAGGCCTCTCTCCAGTGTGGATTTTTTGATGTCTCATTAGACCTCCTCTGCAATTGAACCTTTTCCTGCATTCCGTGCATTTAAAAGGCTGGTCATCAGTGTGCATTCTTTGATGGTTCATGTCCATGTTCATGTTCATTCAAGCTCTGTCCAACTTCACTGCTTTTACATAGCTGCTCCCAGTGTGCGTTCTTTGATGCTCTGTAAGATGACCACTCTGGCCGAAGCTCTTTCCACATTCTGTGCATTTAAATGGCTTCACCCCTGTGTGGGTTCTTCGATGGTTTGCAAGATGACCATTCTGGCTGAAGCTCTTTCCGCATTCCATGCAGCTATAGGGCCTCTCCCCAGTGTGGGTCCTTCGATGGTTCCTAAGGGAATTGTCCAAGCTGAAGCTCTTTCCACATTCTGTGCATTTAAATGGCTTCTCCCCTGTGTGGGTTCTTTGATGGTTTGCAAGATGACCATTCCGGCGGAAGCTCTTTCCACATTCCATGCAGCTATAGGGCCTCTCCCCAGTGTGGGTCCTTTGATGGTTTGTAAGGGGATCACGCTGGCTGAAGCTCCTTCCACATTCCGTGCATGTATAGGGCCTCTCCCCAGTATGAGTTCTTTGATGCTTTATAAGACTTCCTTGTCCAGTGAAACTCTTTCCACATTTCATGCATGTAAAAGGCTTTTCACCAGTATGTGTTCTTTGATGGTTTCTAAGAGTACTACTCTGGTTGAAGCACTTACCACATTCCATACATCTGTAGGGCCTCTCCCCAGTGTGGGTTTGTTGATGATGCATAAGTCCTCCACGGTAAGTGAAACTCTTTCCACATTCCATGCATCCGTATAGCGTCTCCCCAGTGTGGGTTCTTTGATGAATCCTAAGAAGTTTACTCTGACTGAAACTCTCGCCACACTGCATGCATTTATGTGCCGTCTCCCCTGTGTGTGTTCTTTGATGTATAGAAAGTTTTCCACGTTGAGTGAAGCTTTTTCCACATTCCATGCATGTAAAAGGTTTTTCACCAGTATGTGTTCTTTGATGGTTTGTAAGTATACTACTCTGGTTGAAGCGCTTACCACAATCCATACATCTGTAGGGCCTCTCCCCAGTGTGGATTGTTTGATGCCTTGTTAGATAATTTCTCTGAGTGAAGCTCTTTCCACATTCTGTGCATGTGTAGGGCTTTTCTCCACTGTGGATTCTTAGATTGCTAATCAGATTTCCACCAGCACTGCAGGACTGTCTACTTTCCATAATTCGATATGGCTTCCTCTAAGTGTGGGATCACTGCGGCTTGCTAAGGCTTGTGCCGTTTTACACAGCACACATTTGAAATCGTGCCTGCGTGGATGCTTTTATAATATTCCATACTTTGCATTTGGTCTCTGGAATTTCTACAGTTTATCTGTTTGTTCCATCTGCCTTTTGATAAATTTCCACACCCGATATTCCCTCCCCTCTTCTTGACTTAGCAACCTTCTGGAATTAAGGGTTGTGATTTCCAGCACCCTGAAAAATGCAGGATTGGTTCCTCACGTTCCTCACTTGGTTTCACTGATGCTTTTTTGTCCTGTTTGGATTTTCAAGTCTCTCTTCTCTCACTTTGTGCTCACTTGGTTCTCATTGGAGGACACCTGGAACTGCTCCACTTCCACTCTCTTGGCATTCACCTGCGTGGAAAAAAAGACAAAATTAAATTCCTGTTAGGAGATAATGGCTGAAAGAAATGAACTCATTTGAGTACAAGGCAAATGTGGCATCTTCACTTCAGCACCTCCCGACATGAACCCTTTTCCTCTCTGAATGCCCCTCCAAAAAGCACCTTCCTCGGGGATTGCATTTGCAATGACGACCTGCTTACGGGGTTCCCTGAGGAATTCCCCGGGGTGCGGTGGGAGCTGCGAGGAAGTGCAGAGCCCAGCTGGCCTGAAAAAGGAGGAGGCACCTACCCGCCAGCTGCCAGCGCTGCAAAGGAAGTGCCATCTATGCAAGGCATTTGGTCTTGTTCAGCTCCACCACAGAAGGTCCAGGTAACCTTTCCCTGATTCCTGGAGATAAGTTGCCTTTGCAGGGAGCAGCAGCAGCAGGTCCAGGCTGATATTTAGTCAGGCTTTGTTTGAACCTCCAGCTTGGAGGCAGAGACACAGCCTGGCCAGAAGCTCTCCAGGTCTCCCTCAACTTGACTCCACTTTGCGCAATGGACCCTTTCCCTGCTTGGTGGTCCATAGCATGAACTATGATGGCTGAAACCGAAGAACTTCTCTCATTCCATGCATTTTTTGCATCTTCGGCATTTGGGGTCTCTCCCTTAGAGAAAGACTTATGCTTTTCAAGAACTTCATTTCACCTCTATTGTTTTAATGCGTTTTCTCCCCCAGCGCTTTATAATACCCACTCATTTCCTATTGAACGTTCCTTTGGTTGGATTACTATTCTACTCAAGGGATACCGAAGAATTGTCCACTTTTACCTTTCAATGCACCCTTCCCCCTCTTTGGTGTTTGCTTTTTCCTCTTTCTTTACCTGGTCTGTGTCACGCTTCCTCCGTTCCCTGTAGGCTTGGAAAGTCTCTCTCTGCACCTCACGCTCCCTCATTCTCCTGGAAATGCTGACGGATGCTCACGGATCTCCCTCTCCTGCAAACCACCAGCATGGGGACAAGGGCAAGGCGGAAATGTTGCCAGGAGGGGGCAGTAGATCCCACTGGAAAATCCCCTGAATGCAGCGGCCTCTGCTTCGGCCACTGGAGTGCCATCCCGCTCCCATTGCTCCAGGTACCTGGGATTTAGGTACTGATTTATGGACATTTTATGAGCTTTGTACTTAGCACAAAACCTTAAGAAAGAGGGCCACTGAGAAACACAAGAGGGACCTGCCATTCTCCATCTGGTTGGTCATGTTCAAGCGGAGCTTAACTTGTGTGAGCCGGAGCTGAGGCTGCACAGAGACAGCCTTCCGTGAGGTTCCCAGGCATGTCCACACTTCACCCAGCAGCCCCTTCAGAGGCACGGTGGGAACATCCCGGAAGGGCACACAAGCCACACCGTGTGTGGAACACATGCGTGTCCTGCCAGCGGGGGGCCCTTCCACCGTTGCCCCTCCCCAGCGATATCCATGGCAGGGTCACTGGAGGGGGAAGAACACGCCATTGGGAGGACGTTCGTCTCTGGGGCAGCCCACAGCTGCCCCCAGTGGAAGGTCCCGGAACTCTGGCAGGGGGGTGCAATGGGGGACCAGGTGGACGCAAGGGGCGGAGGCAGCCACCAGGTCTGCCCCAGGAAGGCGGGGCACAAGCGGAGCAACACCACCTAGAGGCCCTCCTGATCCGGGCAAGAGAAGGTCCCGACACACACGCCAGAGCCCCTTCCCCTGAAACCTAGAGAGATGTGCAGGCAGGGCCTGGATTGGTCCCTTTGGAAAACGGGATGGGGTGTGGATGCTCTTGGCAGCTGCACCAGGAAGGTCTGCAGGAGAGCAAACCAGCGGGAGGAGTTCACGGCCTGCCCCCTGTTGAGATCTGGCCACACCGCATGGAAAGGGACCAGGCACGGACATTCGTCCTCGCCCCCCCCAAGCAGGGCAGCCTGCCAAGCAGCAGTGGGGCAATCCAGCACCAGGAGGCAGGGGTGTGGATCGGTGCCCCACTGCTGCTGCCTGGGGGACAGACAGGTGAAAACCAGGCCACCCCCGGGGCCAATGGCTGATTATGTTCAACCCCCGCCAGGCATTCAGAGGGGCACGCCCCCCACCCCCCGCTTCAGCTCCACAGCAGCTCAGCCAGGGAGGATGGCCCGGGTTGGGAAGCTTTCCCAGACCCACAATACAAGCAGAACGTTTCTACGCCGCCCGCCCGGCAACGCTGGGAATCGCTCCCGGCACCGAAGGCGGCCTTGCAACGGAGGCGCGCCTGGCCTCACTCCTGGCTTCGGCTCCGAGGAGGGATCCGAGCGGGGGTCCCTTGGGGTCGCCTCCACAGGAGTTCATGCCGGCACCATCCTGGGAAGGCGCCATGAGCCAGGATGGCGCTGTAGGGGGGTGGACACAAAGCCGGCCGCCACGGCGGCCCCTTCCCTCCGGAGAGACTCTTTCCCGGAGCAGCAGCTCCAGCGGGCGCCTCCACGGGCCCCACCTGGGGAAGCCCAGCAGAGCCTGTCCGGAATGACGCCGCGTCCCCAACCGCGGCCCCGTCTTGCGCGGCGCCAGCACAGGAGGAGACGCGGCTGTTCCAGCAAGGAAAGTCCAGCTCGTCTCCCGATCGCACTCGCAACGCCAAGGGGGGGGGATCTCCCCCTGCTTGGCCTCCCGTGCTCCCCTCCTTCTCCCCGGGCTCCCCTCCGCCCCCTCCCCTCCACGAGCATACCTTGACTTTCTCCGAGCCCGTCTCGCTGCCGGGACCACCAGGCCGGGGCGTCCGCGGGGCTCCCCCCGCGCCTCTCCCGCCCCTCCAGGCAGCGCCGCGCTCCCCTCGCGCACTCCAGACCCGGAGCGGAAGCGACGCGAGACCCTGCTGCCCGCCCACTCCGGAACTGCTTCCCGCGGGAGGGCCGAAAAGCCGGATCGCGAATCGCCGCTGGATGCGTCGCATTTCAATAGTTTTGTGCGGCGCGGATTCCCGAACTGCAGCCAAAGCACTCAGCGCATCCGCCTCCATCAAGTGAGCCCCAAAATCCGGGGTGCCATAGTTTCTGTGCGCAAAAAAGGGGCTCCAGAGGATCTCAGAACGGGGCCCAGTGGGGGAATGGGGCCCACAATGTGGTTAGGGGCAAATTTACGCGCGCGCGCGTGGGGGGGGGGGTTCATAATGGTCAGAGCCATGGCAGGAGGTCTGGCTCCATCAAGGCCATGTCGCTTGAATTTCCGGGGAGAGCAAGTGCCAGATGAGAGCATCTCTTTTGGAAGTGATGGAAGATTGTAGGAGTTGCTTCATATCTTATCCACTCTTTTCTCGCGTTTCTACCCAGCTCTACAGCCAATTAACTCCGAGAAGGGCTGCTTTGGAAACGACCCAGTTCAGAAGGTCCAAATTGGCTTCCAGCTGTCTGGTCTCATCCAAACATGCTGCACCAACCAAATTAGGGTGAAACGGGGCGGGGGGAGGTCTCAGGAAAGGGTGAAGCTGACATGGCAGAGAAATCACAAACACAGAAGAACCAGGAAGCCACCTTTGGTCTCTCAGATTTCTCTCTGGGCTGGTTCCACAGTCATGTGGCTTGGAATGTGTCCCACTAAGACCAAGGACTCCGACTCCATCCCTGGATGCCTTTCGTCTGCTTTAGGAACTGGGAGAACGGGCACCATTGGGCTACAAACTTCTTTTGGATTCTGGGACTGATGGGAGTAGTGGCAGGGGAAACCCGTGTGGAGAAATTACTCTGCCTCTAATCATCTCTTCACTAGGTGTGACGGTCTGAGCCAGAAAGTTCTGGGGACCTACACAATTTTAATATGAGAACTAATTAAAGTAATTTAACATTTATACCCTTGAGATCCGTATATCTTATGAGACTGTTATATCTTACAGTAACCCTTAATAGTTTTCCCAGACTGGTTGTGTTCCCTGAGCAACTTCTGGAATTGTAGAATCACAATCCGCACCTACTCTGAGAACCCCATCCTGCCCCACCGCCCCAGACCCCGCCAGGAGCTCCGGAGGGGAAGGAGATCCCCGCCCGGCCCCACGTAGGGCCTGCTCCCCCACACCGGAACAGCCCGGTGCTCAAGTCCTGTCCGGGGAGTGATTCCAAGGGGAGAAGATTGGGTCATGCAAGCCGTGTGGTGCTGTGTAGCAGGGAAGATGGACCCAGCGCTCTCCCAGCTTTGACGCCAAGGGGAAGGAGGGGACCCTCCCCGTCCTTCTTCCCCACCAACACCCTTCCATGGTCGGCCCCCTTCACCTCCGATTCCCCGCACCCCTTCACTCCCCCTCCCCCTCTTCCCAGGCACGTCTCGCTGCTGGGAAACCACGAAAAGCCAGATCCCGGATCCTGCACATCTGGATGCGCTGCATTCCCCCTGGTGGTGTACGGAGAGGCCTCCCTAAAGCGCAAGGAAGATAGGGGCGCATCGCCCGCATGAACCGAGCCACGAAATCGATGGTGCCAAAACGGGATCCGTAGAAATATTCGGGGAGCCTCTGAGGGGGAAGGGACCCACCTGGACCTGGAAGGCCAAGCGCGCCCCGATGCCAGTCCGAAGAGGATGGGAAAGGCCAGCCCGCACGGCCCCCTGGTAGGACGCTGGGAGAGCATCTCCTCCCCCTGCCCCACCCGCCCTAGACCCTCAGAAAATTTGTCTGGCCGGGAAGGAGGCACCCTGGCCGGCGAGACTCGTCTGCTCTGGTAGCTCCTTCCCCGTGGATGCGTCCAGCCCCACCCCCAAATCTGGACGGGTCGGGGGCGTCACGAGGCCTGTGCAGGCCCCTTGCCCAAGGCCGCAGCTCTGACCAGGCACTCTTGCCGCGGTCCACGCGCGGATCCCCGAAGGGGGCGCTGGAGAGAGATCGCGAGCGAGGACGGAGGAGAAGGGGCTAGAGGGGGGAGCGTTGGGTGGCGGCGCCGGGGACTGGCGGCTGGGGGAAGACGAGGCGGGAACGGGCCAGCGCTCCCCCCGCTCAGGGAGAGCGGAAGAGGCGGCAGCTGCTCTGGGCGTGAAAAGGCGCTGGGGAAATTGGGTCCGGGGGAGAGGTTGAGCGGCGGGGGAGGGGGTCGGCGGGAAGAGGTGGAGCGGCGGGGATGGCAGATGCCGTGCTGCTGGCCTTGCTCAAGAGGGGAAGGGTGTAGAGGAGGGGTCCCTGGGGTTAGAGTTCCCCACTTCTTTTCGGGGACCCTCAAGCTGGCGGAATGTCGCTTTTCAATTTGCGAGGAAATACTCGGTCCGTGGGAAAGATCAACCGTTTCAACCTCTGCTGCTTGATGGATCGGGGCCCCAGTACCAGCAGTCGCGAACGGAAATATATGACCAGGTAGAGGCAAACTCAAGTACAAGTTTTCAGAGCATGTACAGAGCATTTTATGATCTCCTACTCACGGGCACTGGCTCAGAGCAATTGATGGCAGGATGCAGACAGGACAATGACAGTCTGAGGCCAGAATATACAGAACAAATAATGCAAAGCAACCGGACGTACAAGTGACAAGATGACAATATTTACAACTGCAGTGCATTGACATTTCCAATCTCCAGGTCTGTTTACACATGGAAATGGAGAAAGCATTCATGAAATCAGAATCTCAGCGGATGCATCCCGCCAGTGGGAAGGCTTTGAACCCGAGGAAGCAACTCGCGTCCTTCTGACTGGCTCCAGGCAGAAAGCACTCTGGGCCAGCTAACCAGGGATTCCTTGGCGAACTCTGAATTCCGGCAGGGATTATGTAGCAGTTTTGTAGCAGCGAGCAACCCTTCTAGGATCCTCTGGATTCCCCTGTTGGTACCAGGTGGACAGAAAGGACGCTCCCCCCCCCCCGCCCCCGATTTAATGGCGCACTTGTTGGAGGCGGATGCGCTCCGAGATTCCATTCGAGTCTAATAGACCCCCGTGCACGGCGGGGAGAAAAGCGGCGCATCCAGGTGCGACTCTGGGATGCGGCTTTTCCGATCCTCGCCAGGGAAGCAGTTCCGGTGGGCGGGCAGCAGGGGGCTCGCTTCGTTTCCGCTCCGGCCCAGGAGTGTCCGGCGAGGATCGCTGCGCTGCCCGGAGAGGCGGCAGAGCGGCGAGGGAGGCCTCGGCGACACACCTGGCTAGGAGAAACGCACTGCGCGGCGGGAAGGTGGGCGAGAGCGATGGGGTGGGCGGGGGGCCGGGGAGAAGGAGGGCGAGCGTGGGGGGCGGAAGCGGAGAGCCCCCCTTCGCCGGCGTTGCGGCGGCAGAGCCCCCGTCCGATCCCGGCTCCCCGCGCGAGGGGTGGCAGGGCGTGCATTGCTCCGGGCAGGGCTCGCGTCCCGGGATTTCCTGGGGCAATGGCCGGGTGCGGGGAGGGGGGCGAGGCTGCGCGGGATGAGGGGGGGCGCTTCTGCCCCTCCGGAGCTCCTTGCCGGCTCCGGAGCCTCGGGGCGGGATGGCGGCGCCCCCCGTGCGCGCGGGTGGGACCGGTTCGTTACGTCGGGCCGAGCCGGGAGAGTCCGGGCTGGCCTTTTCTCGCCTTGCACGGCGGCGGGTGCCGAGTTCGAGGTCCACCCTCCCCAGTAGGCCGGGAAACTTCCGGGATTGTGGGTCTTGTAATCCGCCAGCTCCCGAACCCCCGCTAAGTTATTGTGGAGAAAAAGCAGGAGGGGCGTGTGTGCCCCCCTGAAGCCCGGCCGGTGGGGAAACAGGACAACCGGCGCGGCCAGGAGGTGGCCTGGTTTCCACCTTTCTCCTCAACCCCCACCAGCAGGCAGACCAATGGGGACCCGATTTGGGTCCCGCTTCTTTGTCCCACAGTGCAAGGACCCCCGGTGCATCCCGGTCACACAATGGGGGATCAGCTCAGGGTTCCGGGGTTTGTGGGTTGGAAGGGAGAGGAGGGGGAGGGACAAATGGCACGAGCCCCCCCCCCCCCAGTTGCAGAGGAGTTGGGGATCTGGGAAGGCCCGGGAGGAAGGTTGAGAGCCCTCCATTTCACTCGGCCTCAATCCAGCAAGGCGGAGGCATCCGCACTCCATCCCCTTCTGCAGAAGGGCGACGCCACCCCCTCCCTGCACATCTCTCCGGAGTTTGGAGGAAGGGCCCCTCACACGTGCATTGCACCGGCACCCATGGGAGCTGCCCGGGGAGGCTGCCAGCCTCGTCCCAACTGCCTCTGGCCTCGCTTGGCTCACCCCAGGGCTTGCTCTCTCGTTTAGGTTTAGACAAGATGGCCACCCCTGGAGGGTCTCCCAGGAGGGAGAAAGGCTGACGAGCTGGGCATGGACCTTTCCATGGGTGCTGGTCCCAGTGGTGGCAGGACACTGGTCTTTCTCTCTTGTCTTCCCTTATAATTTACTCTAAGTAGAATGCACATCAATGTTATTTCTGCTTCCTTTCAGGAAATGGTACACCGCCTGGCGAGATCTTCATAAATCCATCCTGAAATCCCAGGTATACGCAGACAACAAAAAGCTCCCATGCAGTGGGAAAGAGGTGGCACTCCAGGGGCTGAAGCAGAGGTAGCTGGATTCTTGGGATTTTCCAGTGGGATCGGCTGCCATCTCCTTGCAAAATTTCTGCCTTGCCTCTGTTGTTATGCAGGTGGTTTGCAGGAGAGGGAGATCCCTGAGCATCTGTCAGCCTTTTCAGCAGCACGAGGGAGCGCGAGATGGGGAGAGAGTCTGTAAAAGCCGTCAGGGAAAAGAGGAACCATGACATAACCCAGATAAAGGGAAAGGGAAAAGGAAACAGCAAGCTGGGGGAATGGGTTCATTGTTGCCTAAAAGTGGACAATTCTTAGATATCCCTTGAGTTGATTAATAATCTAACCAAAGGAATGTTTATCAGGAAATCACTTGCTGTTGTTGTTACTTGCAAAGTCATATCTGA